TTCATATCTATCTATCTATCTATCTATCTATCTATCTATCTATCTATCTATCGCATTCTGTTTATATGTATATCTATATGTTTATATCCATTTAATTAATAATTTCTCTTTCTTTCTCACGCCTTTTTACAATTTTTTTCTGAACTTTTTCTTTTCTTTTCTTTTCTTTTCTTTATTTCTTTTCTTTCTATCTTTCTTTCTTTCTTTTCTTTCTATCTTTCTTTCTTTCTTCTTTCTTTCTTTTCTTTTCTTTTCTTTCTTTCTTTCTTTCTTTTCTTTTCTTTCTTTACTTTCTTTTCTTTCTTTCTTTCTTTTCTTTCTTTCTTTCTTTTCTTTCTTTCTTTCTTTCTTCTTTCTTTCTTTTCTTTTCTTTCTTTCTTTCTTTCTTTCTTTTCTTTTCTTTCTTTATTTCTTTCTTTTCTTTTCTTTCTTTCTTTCTTTTCTTTCTTTCTTTCTTTCTTTCTTTTCTTTCCTTCTTTATTTCTCTCTTTTCATTTCTTTCTTTCTTTTCTTTTCTTTTCTTTTTTCTTTCATTTCTTTTCTTTTCTTTCTTTCTTTTCTTTTGTTTTCTTTCTTTTCTTTCTTTCTTTATTTCTTTCTTTCTTTCTTTCTTTCTTTCTTTTTTTCTTTAATATATCATTTCGCATCGGGGTAAACACGTAGTCCCCCAAATGAGTAGAATTGTAATCGCCTCCATCGATCCACAAATGCTATTTGCCTGGAGTGATGCAAAGCAACTATTTTCCCCTCAATGGACGTTAAAAACCAAATACATTTACAAACCGAATGACCTCTATGTATCCCGAGGTCAGCGCACCCACCAGACATGCTAAAACCGTTATGCTTTACACATACCCCGCGTCAATGTCTTCACTTCTGGTCGTATCTATTATTAACATTTTCTATGTTGCCGAAAGAACAAAAGATCTTGAAATTGGTTGGAAAGAAAAGTTGTTTTTACTTTTAGATAAATATATTCAAGTTGATTGACATCTCGGCTTTCCTGCCACACCCAGTTTGGTCACCCTTTGCCGTGTGAGTGCGACGTGAAATAAACGCTGGTGTTGTGAACATTTCTGAAGATTGACCACAGTCTGACTGAGAGAGAGGCTCGTTAATCATTACTCGTTAATAGTTTTAAGTATTTGTTTAGGTTAGTGTAGTCTGACAAAATGTCGCAAATATTGGCAGATGGTGAGTATTTAATTTATTCTATTGTGGCAATGAGCACTATACAATCGTAGTCAGGAGCGAAGGGAACGACGTTGTCAGAAGAGGTACTTGCGTCGACGAGGACATGTTTGCTTCGATGCGAAATTATATACATATAAAAGAAGCAAAATGGATTAGAAAGAAAGAAACTTGGAAACAGCAGAAGAAAAGAAAGAAAGAAAGAAAGAATAAATAAATAAAAAGGAAAGAAAGATAGTTGCAAAACAAAGAAAGAATAAATACTAGAGGATTAGAAATTATTTGCTAGATAAAAGGGGGAGTGAGAGGGATATGAACAGCCTTAGATAGATAGATAGATAGATAGATATGAACAGAATGAAATAGATAGATAGATAAATAGACAGATATGAACAAAATCAAATTGATATGAACAGAATGCGATAAATAGATATGAACAAAATGAGATAGATAGATAGATAGATAGATAGATAGATAGATATGAAAAAAATGAGATAGATGTGAATCGAAAGTGATAGGTAAATAAATTTGATGAAACTAATTAAGCAAAAGCTGTTAATTCTATTATTAATTTTTTTATTAACATTTATACCATGATCGTAAAATAACAATTTGCGACAAAATAAATCTCTTTGGACCTAATAATTTCTATGCCCACCCCATTTCCTTTCCTTTTTCCGTTCCTTAGTCATGCGACTATCTACATCTTTGTTATTTTGATCTCTCCGTTTTTGTCGGCGTTCCGTTTCGCATAACACATCGGCCGAAATTTAGCAATGAAAATAATGTAGACATGGATATTTGTCAGAAGAATTCATGAAGGAATGAAAGCAATTCATTGAAGAATTCCAAATACCGAAGATGGCACCAGAAAGAATGCATGTATCAACACAGCAGGAATGAAGATAATCGTTTTCCACATCCTTTTCTTCTGTGGAATTTTTAACATTTTGATTTTTATCATTTGTTTTCGTCTTCTTTTTTCTGGCGCCTAGAATTTGATTTCTCTTCTTTTTCGTCCTTGTTATTTTCTTCTTTTCTTTTCGTTTTTTTTTTCTTTCTCTATCTTCAAATATCTTTCTTCTTTTGTCCGTTTTTAACCAGATTTTCTAGGTTACGTTTTCAGTAAATTTTGTATTTTCTTTTTTCCGACATCTCAACTGTCTTTCTCCTTTTTTATATTTTATATTTTTCTTTCTTTTCTTTCTTTCCCGTAATTTCTTTTTTGTTTGAACTTTGTCGATCCATTCATGCTTTTCCTTATAATTTTAGTGTTCTTTCTTTCTTTCTTTCTTTCTTTCTTTCTTTCTTTCTTTCTTTCTTTCTTTCTTCTTCGTATTTCTTTCCTCTCTTTTTCTTTTCATATTTCTTATTTTTCTGTTTTTCGCTGCCTTCTTTCTTTCTTTCTTTCTTTCTTTCTTTCTTATTTTTCTGTTTCTGTTTCACTGCTTCTTCTTTCGTTATTTTATCTTTCATTCTTTTATCTTTCTTACTTTTTCTTTCTTTCTTTCCTTCTTTCTTTCTTTCTTTCTTTCTTTCCATTTCTTTCGTCTTTCGTTTCATATTTCTTATTTTTCTGTTACTGTGTAACTGCTCCTTTTCGTTCTTTTATCTTTATTTTTCTTTCTTTCTTTCTTTCTTTCTTTCTTTCTTTCTTATTGCTGCCTTTCTTCATTCATTCAATCTTCTTCCTTCATTCACTATAAATCGAAATAAAATCTCCTCTTGACGCGATCTTATCTTCATACAACTGATTCAATTATTTGCCTTGTTACCACTTACAGCCTCTTTGTCTGTTGACACAAACGCCCGTATTTCCCACTTCTATTGGCTTTTAGGACTACGAGGTATGGCTAAATGGTTACAGAACTTAAACCTTAGCTAAGAGGTTTAAACTTTTGTCTCATATGCTAGTTTATAAGGTTACTTTTCCCCAAAACTAAATAAATTGTGACTGACTTATTGAAATCACCGGCGTCATGTAGCTTCCTTTTATTGTTCAAAGCTACATGAGGATCGCAATTCTTTTTTTTCTTTTATGTGTAATGTCCTTTCAGGAAGTGAGCGATCATACCTTTCCAAAATATTCTCTTTTTTGTTGCCTATCATCATCATGCCGAGAATTCATCTATCATCTATCAGACATCGCCATCGGCCGGTCCTGCAGATAACATACAAAGTCATCTACAAGTTGGTCAATGGAGATGTGTTGAGGCCTTCCAACCGATATTTTGCCGCGTAATGGGTCCCACAGGATTGCGTCACTCAAAAGTTCTGACTTACTTTTCCTGGAATGACCAGCTAGCCGAAGCCTTCTCTCTCTCTTAGCGAAACTAAGACAAGAGGAAGGTGTCCATATAGGCGTTTCTTTGTTGAGTGTTTCTTCCAGCTGATATCCAGGGCAACTCCTAACATCCTTGTGTATGTTCCGTCAAGTGATGTTGCTTATACATCTTTAAAAACCTTACCATCTTTTTTTTTATGTCTGCTCTGTCATCCATTTATACAAATTCGTTAAATTCGTTACTCAATGTTTTTCCCGGCTTCTCCTTGTTTGCATATATCCTGTGAGTGTTAGATTTTCCAAACCTTCTTGTCTTATTATATATCTCGGAAATTCCAACTCTTTGTTTCTACTTTTAAGCATAAGATTCCATTCTGTATCAATTTTACTTCCTCGCTACCCACATGCTCTGTCCATGGCATTCTCAGCATCCGTCGTGGGGGGGGCACATACCTGTCGCTTTTTCGACTGTGAGGAAACCTTACAAGTTTTGTTTTGGAGATATTGAATGATACAATCCTCAACCCCTACCACAACTCAGCTGAGAGAGTTAGGTCGTCGGAGAGACTTTTGAAGGTGCGCCCATAAACAGTGTTCTCATTAGACAATATACTTATTAATAATCTGGGAATGTTCTTGAACTGATCGATAATATTTTTTAAGCATTTCACCCCAAGCAAGGCGGGAGTGTCACTAGCCCACAAGAGGTTACAGAGAGTGAAAGTAAGAGTAAAGAGGGGTTTTTTTGAAGAAAGGATATAGAGAAGGACGGGGATCAGGATCACGGCATCAGAAGATGTCGATTGACATTACATTTAAATTTTTGACGATTATAGCTATCAGGGAAGCAAGTAAGTGAGGAAGTGCGAGAGAAGAAGCTGTTGGAGTAGAAGAGGCGGTTACATTTAACGGTTTCGACAGTGAAAGGCTGGGACCAAAATGCCAACCTAGTAGCACGCTTAAATTCATGCAGTTGGGGTACCAGTGAAAGTATTTCGTCAGAGCAGTTGCGATAAAAATATTTGTAGAAAAGACAGAGGGAAGCCACAATACTTCTGTGAGAAAGTGACTGTAAACGAGATGCCTTCTTCGGATTTTGTCGAGAACCTCGAGATGAACAGCTGGAGCACCCTTGAGGACACCAGTATTGGTACCATGTGCCTCAGAAGACGAGCCATTAACCTACTTGATGGAAAGCTTTTTTGTACTTTTAAAATCTGCGATATCCACGTTGTAAAAAAGTATTAATTCATATACGATTGATTAATTAATTCGTTTTCTACGGCTTATCAACATTTTACGGGTTATTTAAAGCCAGAAAATATTTTTAGATTGAAAAAATGGGAGGAGAGACAATTTGGAGGTACAAGTCTTACTAATTGACCCATAGCCGTGGTGGGAAAAGATAGGTTCATGCATTTCCCAAGAGCCTTTGCGCCTAAGTACACAGAACGGACTCAACTGGAATTCGAACTCGGCTCTCCGATTAACCATTCCCAGTCATTATCCTTTGCAACATCCAAGTTTACAGCATCTGGTATTCCCAAGCTGTCACCCATTTAGGTACTGACCAGGCTCCATGTTGCTTAACTCCGGTAATCGTACGTAAACCGGTGTTTCAACGTGATACGGCTGTAAGCATCTTACATACAAAGCTACAAAAAATTTCCTTCATGGCTTGAGCGTCTTTTTTAAAAATTAATGTTCTATGAAAACAGGAAGTTTTAAATGCTATTTAATTAACTTTCATTAATATTTCTCAAATTCTAGCAAATAATTTGTTTTGCTGAAAATCTTAAACAAGACTTCAGCTTTTAGCGACGTTTTAATTAACTTTTAATTAACTATTCAATTTTTTGTCAGTTGTTTAATAACAGCTGTTTGTAAAGAAATTAGTTAAACCATTTTATCAAATTTGTTCTGAATTCGCGAGACGAGATTTTATTTTTCCAATGTTTTTGTTGCGATTATATTCTTATGGTGTTTTTTTTATTTTTTAATTAAACCGAACTTTTATTCAATATTTGAGCTGAGGCAAAAGCCAAGATTTCAGAGACTGATGATCACGACAGAAACTCATTCTCTCTTTTAAAGATTGGCGCTAAACGTTCTTCTCCCTCTAGATGCTCTTCAAACTGATATAAACCAACATAAAAGGAGGTAAAATATTAATCAGTCTATTCATCGACACACATCAAATGACCTCAGGACACTTCGACGAGGTGTAAAGATCAATTATGGCTGAATAATGAGATCGATTCTTACTGGGTGATGTTGCAGTTTTTTGTGTATATCTATACTAATGAGTTAGCCCAAATGACTTAACTCACTTTATAGTCCACCAATAGAAGGTTAACCAATCAGAAGACGTAGAACATTCAATCCGTCGTGTATAAAGGCGTCCATTTTGTTTACCCTACCCGAATGTCCAGTTCCAGCTTGTCAGGCGAAGAGAAACAGAAGGACGAACTTTGCTCTGCTACTTTTACCAAAATATCCACTGCTAACCTGAACAACGCTTTCCTACTGTCTTCGAAATATTCACTGCTAACCTCTGGATTCTATACTCGAAGACGACCGTCATCATGAACAACAGGTGATACATACTATCGGCCTTTTACCACATCTAAGCTATGCTTACAAAATCACCATCAGAAGATCTTAGTAGAAACATTAAGATAAAAATAAATACATATTTTTTAATCAATTCACTCCAAGCAAGGCGATAATGACACTAAGACGCAGTTAGAGTTTAAGAGAATGGGAAGACTTTAGAAGGAACCGGAAACCCAATTCTGAACGGAATAAAACTTTACCAATTTTCAAAAAAAAAAAAAAGCTTAGATGGGGTGAACCGGACGATAGGCGAATCTATCGACACCTATTGAGGTATATAAAGACATAAAGTAAAACACAAAATAGTAAGTAACAATTTCAGAGTTTAGGCGGAGACGTTGGACATATAGAGTTGAACAGACATTAGGAGGAATCCAAAGTCCAATCCTACACATAAAAACAAGATATAAATCTCTACTCCTGATCAAAAACTGGAGAGGAGTGTGAACCGGACGATAAACGAACCTATCTACTATTAAGTTAATATGCGAAATTGCACATCCACACACACACACACACACACACACATATATGGATAATATTAGTGGTTAATATATATATATATATATATATATATATATATATATATATAAAATTCATGAGAGGATAGAACCAAGGAAGATCTCAATGTCCAGGACGGAGTAAGAATATGATATAAAAAGCTCAAACACTAATATTCCATGTTTATAATTTAGTACATTGGAAGCGTAATCACGATCCAATTCATCCAGACCTACAAATTCAAAATTTTGAATTTGTAGGTCTGATGAATTGAATCGTTATTATTCAATGTACTAAAATTATAGACATGGAATATTAGTGTTTGAGGCTTATATATATATATATATATATATATATATATATAGAGAGAGAGAGAGAGAGAGAGAAATTATTAGAGCATTTGATAATTATATTTAATTAATTCATCGAGTCTGAGAGAAACCTCAACAGAATGCAAAAAGCACTTGACGGTCGTTTCGTTCCATATTTGGGAGCCATCAGCAGTGCGCATCCAGAATTTATCCGAGAATTGAAACCCTGACCGTTAGGTTGTCAAGCAAACATCATACCAACTGTTCCAACGGGCCTCAGACTCAACAAAGCGCCGCTCACTCACATATTCCGTGGTGGAACTCTTACTGAGTTCTCTCTAACCATAGGACTGTGCCCCCTGGAGCCACGACTACTCTCACCAAGCCGCTCACTCTAGAGCATTAGAAGCCGGTTCAAGCAATGATATACTCAGATAGAAATTAGTAGGAAGATTTGATAATTATATTTAATAGTGGACGCGCACTGCTGATGAGTCCCAAATATAGAACGAAATGGCCGTCCAGTGCTTTCTGCATTCTGTTGAGGTTTCTATCAGACTCGATGAATTAATTAATTAAATATATATATATATATATATATATATATATGTGTGTGTGTGTGTGTGTGTGTGTGTGTGTGTGTGCGTATTCTAATAATCAATGACAGATTTTATGAAACTTTTAGCAAGATTCGAAATTAATAATGTCGCTATTCATGATAATTGCTCTAATGAGCTTTTCTCGTTAACAAACGCAGTCCTAGATTGGCAGGTAGGTCTCATAAAACTTACTATTGAAACTTTTCTAACTGTAATTTCTTTGCTCATGACTTCTTCACTTCTCACTTGTGAAACTCTTTTCCATGTTCATAATTTACTGTCAACTTCTTTTCTTTTCTTTTATGTGACGTGTCTCTTCAGGACGTAGGCGATCATGACTTTTCACTTCCCTCTGTCTCTTGTAGTACTCAAGTTTTGTACTTTTGGTTCTCTCAAACCCTTCTATCCACTTGCTTAAGACCGCTAAGTATGTCACGCGTTTCTTTCCATTGTCTCGCTTTCCCTCTATCCGCCCTGTGAGTATCAGATTCTCCAAGCCCTCATTTCTCATTACGTGTCCCAGAAATTTCAGCTGCTTCTCCTTGATGTTAAGTATAAGCGTTCTCCTTGTTTGCATCCTCTCCAAAACCTTATCGTTTCTCACATGTTCGATCCATGATATCCTTAGCATCCTTCTGTAGAACTATACCTCCGTTGACCTGAGTCTTTGAGGAGACCATCCAACATTCACTGCCTTAAAGGAGGATAGATATCGCGTAGCAGTTCAATACTCTTTTCTTTGTTACCAAAGAAATCCCCCTGTCTTGTAATACTCTGCGTAGCTTTTGGAATGCGTTTTTGGCCATCCCAATACGTCTTCGGATCTCAGTGTCGCACTTACCGACCTCTGTGAGAACACTTCCTAGATATTTACATTTCCTCACCTGCTTCATTTTAGTGCCCCTGACCTTTGAATTGCATTTCGAGTTCATCTTTTTACTGATGACCATGGATTCTGTCTTTTTGTAGTTTAGGCTTAATCCCTTCTTCTTGCTTTCCTTCACTACCTTCTGTAGGTTTTGGAATTTCCTTTCAGTGTCTGCTATCAGCATTGTGTCATCTGTGTATCTTATGTGGCTAAGATTATGGCCGCTAATGATGAATCCTAGTAGGATTTCCAGTTCTCTCAGAATTGCCTCGCTGTATAAGGTTGACTAGGATATTTCAAAATTTATATGCAATTCTAATCGGCATCTTATCTCTCCTTTAAACTTGACCTTTTATCATCATTTCAGTAACTCTTTACATCCTAGTGGCTTTTATCTCCTTGCTTGGGTTGAAATGTTTTCAAAAATACATTGATTTTTATCCGATTAAAGGGTAAGTATTCCATCCTTTTGTTATTGATGTTTGAGAAAAAAATCCATTCTTTTCAATGATTTGACGTCTGAGACGTGGGTAGCAGTCGAGAGATTTTTTTCATTGTTGACTTTTAATTATTCGTATTTTCTTTACAAAGACCTCATTAGAAAACTTAAAACATACTCTCCAGAGTCTGATTTCTCAGTCGTAATTGAATTTGGCCTCAATTTCTTACCGTTCTTAATAAGATCTTAATGAATACAAAAAAACACGTTTTAATATATACAAGGTACGATGGATAAATTGTCGCCTAAATTACGCAATAATGAAATCTCATTTTAACAGATGTATTTTCCAAAATTACACAAAATATCTTGAAATACTAAAGAGTAAGTTTATTCAATAAAATCTCCATGGCTTCAACCACGCGTTCCTGCATCTTCTGGGTGGTCTCCTTGTTTAAGTTTGTGAATTCTGCCATAATCCTTGCCTTCAGTTCATCTTTGGTGTTACAAGGAATTTTGTTGGTCTCCCGCTCAAATATGTCCCACACATAATAATAATCAAGGGGGGTGCAATTTGGAGAGTTTGGCGGCCAGATGTAAGGGGGTGATGTGGTCGCAGAAAAATTGCCCCACAGCTCTGATTGGGTTCTCCTGCTTGTGTGGCCTGGTGCAGAGTTCTGTTGCCAGACATCGGGTCTTCCATCAGACACACTCTTGACCCAGGGCAGCACTACCTACTCAAAGCGATTGATATCGGCCTCCGTTTTGCGTCTGAGGACCTCACCAACAAATTTAAACGATCAGAGTAAGTTTTCCGAGCAGCTGTACCTTCGTAATCACCATTAGACTCATCCAGCTCTTTGCGAGACCTCTGCACTGTCCTCAGTTGACACCTAAACACTCTGAAATGTTCGTATTCCGGTACGAATGCCAAGCAGTACAGCATGCCGTTTCCAAATTTCTGTCTGAGTAAATTGCGTCATGGTTCACTTTTTTTTTCTTTGCAGTCGAAAAAATAAAAAAAACAACGTGAAATTAAAAATTAAAAATCTAAAATGGCAACACTTTACGCATCGGACCCTGTATATCGTATTATAAAAAATGTGGAATACTCTCTAATCTGTAGCGTATCCAGTCTATTAATATATGTTTATATCTCTACCTGACACATTCTTCTTCTACTATGTGCCGTGTTCCAGCGAACGTGGAAAGACATGGCTCTCCGGAACTTCCCTTGTTGATGTCAGTAATATTTGCTTCGTTGCATCCCCCACCCACACACTCTGTTCCGTAATCTATCCCC